AGACTTTATGTGCGTTTAATCTTTCATCAGTAGTTCAAGCCCTTGAAACTTCATCTCTTTTTCTCATGTCTTCTGGCATGTCGAAATCTCATTTTTAATCCTGATTCTTTCTGTTCCTCTTCAAATTACCGTCTAGCCTACACACTCTTAAATTTAGTTAACTGTAAACCTTCTGTTTATAGTTAGGAATTACATTAAAAATACTAATCCTTGTGACTAGTTTTTTAATAATGTAGGGCAACGATCCTAATTCTAAAACCAAATGTAAAATGTCACCCTGACGTTAATTGTTACAGCTAGATTGCCTTTTTGGATTATCCAGACTAATATTATATTACGTATATATTTTTTGCAGTGCACTGTTCAGCCCATTTAAATGCCCCTTTTGGTATGTCTGATTGTTTACACATCAGGCTTTCTGTACCAAAATGATATTTGGCTGAAATTCTGCCAAAAAAAAAACAAAAAACTTTCTATTTATGGAAAAATCAGTTTTGACAAACCAAAATCTTCTCACCGTGCACAAGTTTACACAGCACATGCATTACTTCCTATTCCACACCACACACATCCATCTTTTCTACACTCCACATCATGATACCAATCGTGAACGGAGGATGCCCCATGCCATTGCAGGGGTTTAAAGCCCACTATATTCCTAATCTTAGAAAGGTAGGCGGTATTGCTTTTTTTAACAAAATCCATTTTTAATAACAAAATATAAATGAATAGAGTAGATGATAAAGTATAGAACATGGAGCATTTCCACAGATGGGATAGATGGTAAAGATGACTGATGTGATTAAAGAGGGAAAGTGTTGTTGTATGTGTTCTGTACAGATATAACACAGCTTTGAAAAGGCAGTCACAGGCATATTTCCTGTGATGTAATGTACATCACTGGCACCACTTCCCATTGGAACCATGCTTTTCCCATCACCGTTTCATAGGGACAGAATGTGGGAAGGCATTACTAGTTTCAAAACATACACAGCAATTGAGGCGTAGGAAAATTTGATGACAACTCACCTAATGACCAACCCAAGACCCCTCACAGAACTTTACCACTTAGTCCTGCATGTGTCTTTTTCATTCCAGTGTCTTGCTCTTTTCCCTCCCCATTGTCCCGATGTCCTTCTTCCTAACACAGAGTAATTGTCATCTTCCACCTCTCATGCTCCCTCCCCATTTTCTGTTGCTTTACCAAACTCTGTTCTGTGTACTTCTCTTCATTTGTTGTTCCCATTGTTCACAATCTTTTCTGCTGCTCCCCTCTCTGTAATGCTTTCTCTCGGTTTCATTTTAATGCTTTTTTCCTCTCATTTACAAAGTTTTCTGCTATTTTTTAAGTTACTCTCCCAATTTATCTTTATGCTCCTCCTATCTCCTTTCCGTTCTCGCCTTCATTAAAATTGTTCTCCCCACCTCTTTTATATTCTATCCCCATTTTTCAAAATGTATTTTCACACCCTTAAATGTTCTCTGTTCCTTTTTCAATTGCACTGAAAACATCATTTAATTTCTCTGTTCAGTTCTTGTCCTTGTGCCCTTGTCCTGTTCTAGCTTACTGCTATGTCAGTCTCTCTTCTAAACTCTCTCAGTTCTCCTCAACATTTGTCCATTGCTTATTTTTCATTCCCTGGCTTCTCTTCTGTTATAATTTTTTTTCTCACCTCTGTTCCCTTTTCATGTACATACATTTTTTTTAAGACACATACACTTTCTTGCGCAGGTACACAGAAGATTTACATATTTTACCTTTGCATATGCACACATATACTCTACATCACCCATAAACCTAAGAAAACATTAAAAAAAAATAAAACAGTTTTGGGAAAGCAGGATTTGGAGGTTTAGTTAGTTAGAATTTTGTCTGCAAAATATTATTTGGTTAAGGAAATAAAAAAAAAAAAAGTGTTAAAATGGATCAATATGTAACTGCTAAATATATATAATATATATAGTGCACATAAATCTCCCAGTTACTGAGAAGTTAGAAGTAGTTTTTGGAAAAATTGCACCCACCATTCCTCACACTCACAAATTACAATGTGAATATGTTTGAATTAACCCTCCTGTGGAGCGCTGTACACCGATAGGAAAATGTTCCTAAATTGTGGTCCAAAGATCAAGTGAGAAAAAGTAAACAATACAGGAAAAAATAAATAAATATATATATATATATATATATATATATATATATATATATATATATATATATATATATAATAATTGATCTGTGAATTAAATCAACATCTAATGGTAGAAAATAGGCAATCAATATTTTTTCCCCATAAAGCATCTCTTTTGGGCACTACAGGTGGAACTCCAAATTATGAATCAAATTAACATTCTCGTTCATTTTACTAGTTGTTTATGTCGTGATTAGTTTATATCAGGAATTCAGATGTTCCCGATAGGCCAAAATTCAGACAAAGTAAAGCTCATAATAAAACATATCTCAAAGTATGGTAAACATGCATGGCCCAAACACTGTGGCTGACTGTGCACAGAATGCTGTGCATAGTTTTCAGTATTGTAATGAATAGCACATGTACACTTCTCAGTTAGTCTTCTCCTACACCCAGGCAGTCCAGCAGACAAGACTGAAAAAAAAGGGACATTATAGTCACCAGTAGAACTACAGCTTAATGTATTCGTTCTGATGTGTTAAGAGAAAAAGCACTGTTTACATTGCTGCCTAGGAACACCTCTAGTGGCAATCATTCAGACGGCCACTAGAGGTGCTTCCTGGGTGAGTGTCTCCACGCTTTGCATGGAGATGTTGAATGCTCCCCATAGAGTTGCATTAATAAACTGTATTTTTACAACTATACTGTCAGGTATATATGTATTCCTGACACTATAGTGTTTCTTTATGTACACATATAATTATAGGAAGAACTCAGCTGAAAATGGGTGGTGAATATGTGGTTTAAAAAGTACAGGGTGCTCTTTAAGGGAAAAAAAATCCATACCCACACCAGATATAAATACATAATAGAAATAATAATAATCCCAAGGCACACCAATTTGCACATGAAAAAGAGTTTATTCATACATACAAAGTACATCAGAATATCTTAACAGATGGAAAGTGCATAGTATAGTGCATCAACCATTAATAGTACCAAAAACCACAGTAATAAAGTGCTAAATGCAATCACCCATTAAAAAGGTATATTTAGCACGTATAAAAATAAAAACCCTGACGTTTCGGCTATGAAGCCTTCCCCCAGTGGAAGGCTTCATAGCCGAAACGACAGGGGTTTTATTTCTCCTGCTCTTGGTCAGTATACTTTTTTAATGGGTGATTGTATTTAGCACTTTATAACTGTGGTTTTTGGTACTATTTTTTTTGACAATCTTTATTTTGTTTTATGTTATACAGAGGGATAACAACTGATAATATTGTACAGACCATTGGCGACAAGCCATCCCTACGTAGTGTTAACCATCAAGGGATTAAACATGTTCTCTATTTCCCGGTACCTCAGGGTTCATATAGTGCGTCAAGAGGCTGTAGCACTAGGCCCCACATGGCCATTGGGTCCCATTAAACCTTTCTTTTGTTATTCTTGTGGTTTGGCAGGACATGACTTGTTAGCATTACAACACGGTCACTAATGGCAGAATATGGAGTAGGCTATGTGCGAGAGATATCGGTATCCAAAGTGGAGTCCTGCCCAGGGATTGGCGACTATCGGGGGCACAAGTTTAGTGAGTGTTCCGTGTTAATTGCCGTGCAGGGAGTGCCCGACCTCTAGTGTCATACAGACCGCTTATTGGCTCAGCGGGTCTGTGTGTGCCCAAGGGAGGTTAGAAGATAGGTCCCAGGTGCGATGATAGTAAATATGGTTTAACAGAATGCAGTGGGACTAAGTGGGATATGGGTATACGGGGACTACTAGGGTTAAGGACCCAGTAGGTTGTCCCGTTGACATCCAAGTCACACTGTATAAAAAGGTAGGCATGTGGGGCACACCCTAGGGGAATGTCATTTCAGGCAATCAGTAGCAATCACTCAATCAGTGGCGTCACTAGGGGGGGCCAGATGGGGCCATGCCCCCCCCCCACATCATGCTGTGCCTCCCCTTGTGCCCCCCCAAATGCTGGCAACATGCTGGCCATGTGCTGTGCTTAAATTATATTCCCTCGGGCTGTAACAGTGTGTGACAGCCCGAGGGAATGCAGGACAGAGGTGCTGGGTGTTGTCTGTGGCAGGAGGGAGCACTGAAAGGCTCCCGGGAATAGTCCCCACCCCCAAACAAAGCCCCGCCTCCCGCACATAAGCCCCACCCCGCCGTTAAACAGCAGACCTTGCTGCTGCTGGAAAGGCTAGAAGATGGCTGTCTTACCCCCAGCAACAGCCTCCAGTAACAGGTAGGCTTTGTGTGTGTGTGTGTGTGTGTGTGTCTGCTAGTGAGGAAGCTTGTGTGTGTGTGTATGGACTCAGCAGTCTCTGTGTGTGTGTATCAAATCAGCAGTCTGTGTGTGTGTGTGTGTGTGTATCGACTCAGCAGTCTCTGTGTGTGTATGGATTCAGCAGTCTCTGTGTGTGTATGGACTCAGCAGTCTCTGTGTGTGTATGGACTCAGCAGTCTGTGTGTTTGTGTGTATGTGTGTGTATGTATGGACTCAGCAGTCTGTGTGTGTGTGTGTGTATGGACTCAGCAGTCTGTGTGTTTGTGTGTATGTGTGTGTATGGACTCAGCAGTCTGTGTGTGTGTGTGTATGGGCTCAGCAGTCGGTGTGTGTGTCTGTGTGTGTGTATGTGTGTGTGTGTATAATACAGGGCAGTATGTATAATAAATTGGGACAGTCAGTGCTCCCTGTATAGTGCTGCTCTCTGTATAATACAGGTCTGTTTGTGTATAATGTCCCAAGACAGAGAGCAGCACTATACAGGGAGCACTGACTGTCCCAATTTATTATACACACTGCCCTGTATTATACAGCAAGCAATGACTGTTCCGGGATATTATACACAGACCTGTATTATACAGAGAGCAGTACCATACAGGGAGCACTGACTGTCTAGAGAAATAATACTCAAACAGACCTGTATTATACAGTCAGTGCTCCCTGTATATTGCTGCTCTTTGTATAATACAAGTCTGTGTGTATAATATCCTGGGACAGTCTGTGCTCCCTGTATATTGCTGCTCTCTGTATAATACAGGGATGTGTGTATAATATCATGGTTGAAATAGTGCAGCTGAATTGGAGAATGTTTCCAACTTGGCTACTTTGGCCTTAAGTTTAAAATTACCGTCTTAAGTTCCAGTAAATCTCTCTTTATTGAGTAGACTAATCTGTACTGTGATAAGTAGGTGGCAATTAATTATTTGGGTTGGACATAATGGGCTGAGTTTTGCGGCAGTGGGTGTGGTAAACTTTCAAGGTAGTAATTGATAGCTGTGCTGCAAAATGTCCTTGGAAATTATTTCCAAATGTTGGCAACTATGGCACTGTATCAAGGGAAATGTGTTTGTTTTTTAATAATCCCTGGTGGAAAATAATGAATTCTCCAGTAGGCATTATAAAAAAAAAACAAAAAAACACATTGTGTTAAGGGGCGGGGGGGCGTCCTCGGTGGTTCGCATTGCCGCGGTCGGACGTGTCCAGCGAGTTCAACATTCCCTTTTGTGGTATAATAGGTCATGTGATAGGTCATGTGATCCACTCCATGGGTTTCGGGGAACGTGAGCCATCTCATGTCCGTATGGGTGCGTACATCGTCGAAGGGGGGGGGTGAAGTTGAGGTATGTGGGGGAAGGTAGGGGGGAACGAGGGGGGGGGGGAAGGCAGGATTTAGGGTGCGGGGAGCGACCAGCAAGGCCAAGAGCCTCCGGCCCGCGGCCCACAGCGCGCGGCTAAGGATGAATTATGTTTTATTAGAATGATGTTTTATTAGTCCTGCGTGCCATGTAGTCGATCCAGGGTGAGTTTTTAGTACTGTTAATGGGTTATGCACTATACTATGCACTTTCCATGTGTTAAGATATTCTGATGTACTTTGTATGTATGAATAAACTCTTTTTTATGTGCAAATTGGTGTGCCTTGGGATTATTGTTATTTCTTTAACATAAAACATTGCAAACCTACAAGCAGTGTAGTTTCCCAAAAATGAAATAGATAAAGGAGAGGGATGGAATTTAAAGGGTATAGAATTCAAAGCTAACCTGCCCATAATCGAGACTTCAACCCCTAAAACCACAGCAACGCTGGAATGCAAAATCCTGTATCCCTGACAATAGAAACATAATAGAGGTTGGCAGGACTTGTCAGGCAAACTTCGGGACACTTTAGGATATTTTAGCATTTTCAGTCTAATAAATTACATAATAAGATCTATCATAATCATCAGAACAAGTCCATGATGTTCTTAAACCAGCACTGCAAACATTATTTTACCATGTTGAGTTATTAATTCCTACATAATTGAGTTTTATCATGGGCATGTTTTGTGTTCTAGTTCTTAATATCCAAATAACATAAGCACAAATGATCCGACACAAAATTGTCTTTTGTGTAGACATACTTTCTGAATAAGATCTCGTAAAGATAATACAGTCCCAGCAGTAATTTGTATGTATATATATATATATATATTTTTTTTTTTTTTTTTTAAATGTTCATTTGCATTTTGTGCATCATTGTTTTTATTGCAAACCTGGCATACGTGCAATAACAATCAATATTTGGAATAAATTACATCTATAGTTTCATTCAGTATTTAAAAGTTTATGGGATGAAAAGCTAGCTGGCTTTGCAAATTGCTAGATTGGGTGGAATGCTTGATACACATTTCATGAACCATTTGTGGATTTTATGGCATTGATCACGCATATCATGATACTAACCATGAAAACATACTTCATTAAAGACTTGGTATGAAACTCCCTGCTGGGAAGTAATTTTCTCCAGTTATTATTTTGTCATTACAGTACTTATAATTATATTTTGTGGTTGTAACTCGGTATATAGATCAGTGATGGCTAAACTCTGCAACTCTGATGTTTGTGAACTACATTACCCAAGAACATCAGACAGCCCTGGACTGCCAACCATCACTACTATAAAAAGCAGAGTCAGTCAGAAGGCAGGAGCTACACTTCACGATAGATTCATCTCACTATTGCCCTTATGAAGTACACATACGGGTGCCGCTATTATATGAATTATGTTATTATTATGTTATTAAGTTTAAGCATCTTTGAAGGGGCAGCCTTGTTATGGTTGTGGTACTAAGAAGTTGAAGGCAAATCCTCCAGTTCTGTCTCAACAAACTTCAACGCTCTGCATCTGCAGCATCCTAGCACTATACCCACTACAACAAACTGTAGTTTGCAAGTGAACAATAATTTGAAGTACTATTCTTCCACTGGAAGCACTGGCAATCAGAGAGGGCAAATAGTTAAAAACCAGTGGCAGTGTTTAAGCTGACATAAAAAAAATTTAAAAAAAATTAAGCCTATGAAGGTTGACCTTCATATCAGGTGCTATCTGTAATTATAAATGGTGGGGGTGGACAGATCACTGCCTACCCATCAGCCCCAAGCATGGCCAGCAAGAGGTGGCTACTAATTAAAATAAATTAGGGGTAACTTTGTATCCCATCCTACCCCCACCATGGGAGGTGGGAGGGGCTAATAAAATATAGAAGGAGGAGTGGACATACCATTGTGATTTTCCTCTTATTCATTTACTGTACCCACACATATTGCATACCGTTTCTCGCCATTAAATGGTCTTTCTAAAGATATCATCATTTTCATCATATCATATAATTAACTATAAAACAAATTATAAAATATGATGAAAAAATTAAAAAAACACACTTTTTCTAACTTTGACCCCCAAAATCTGTTACACATCTACAACCGCCAAAAACACCTGTGCTAAATCGTTTCTTAATTTTGTCCTGAGTTTAGAAATACCCAATGTTAACATGTTCTTAGCTTTTTTTTGTTTGCAAGTTATAGGGCTATAAGTACAAGTAGGACATTGCTATTTCAAAAAAAATGTTTTAAAATTCATATATAGTGATATTATAACACTTATCTGTCATAAATCTTTGAATCACACCTTACATCTACATAATTGTTTTTTTAAAGTAGAAAACCCAGGGTATTCAATGTGGGGTATGTCCAACCTTTTTTAGTAGCTACTTAGTCACAAACACTGTCCAAAGTTAGCGTTGATAATAGTTTTTTGCATTTTTAAGACAAACAAATATATAAATAAATGCTAACTTTGGCCAGTGCTTGTGACTAAGTGGCTACTAAAAAAGACTGAACATACCCCATCTGCAATACTTTGGGTTGTCTTCTTTTGCAAATGGTATGCCATCATAGGGGTAATTCTCATTCCTGGGCTACCATACACTCTCAAAGGCTACATAACCAATCTGGCAAATTTACATGTGAAAAAAACTGAAACAGGCCTTCTATTTGTTCCTGTAACTTTCAAAAACACTATAAAACCTGTACATGGGGGGTTCGCTTAAACTCGGGAGACTCCGCTGAACACAAATATTAGTGTCACAACAATGATATCATCAGTGAAAAGTGCAGTTTGTGTGTGAAAAATGTAAAAAACTTCACTTTCACTGACAATATCATCGCTGTGATATGTTTTACTGTTTTGAAACACTAGTAGGTGCTTACTATATCTTAAGAGATGGATAGGGGCTGCAGATTATAGCACAAGATTTCCCCAACCTTGTGAAAACAGAGCAAAAAAGAAAAGAGGAGATAATCTGCCCCAATGGTTTAGTGAAACCACATGTAAATAAAGATATATACATATATAAATGCAACCGGATCTTGTTGGTAGATGGATATTTCAAAAAGACAAAAGCAGAGATAACAAACTATTTAAGTGTAGTATTTTTTACTTTTTATGGAGTTAATATATTTGTAGCTCACACTTTAAAGAGCTGAGCTATATAGAAGATGTGGACGGTATAATCCCTGTCTAAGGATGTAAGTACAGCAGAAGTGATGGTATATTCAACAGTGGTGATGGTGCTTTCCTTGGTAGAGTATGTAAAGACATAAACAAGAACATCCAATAGTGTAATATGTCTAGTACATTCTTTTCTTCTAGAAAAATGGTAGGTCTCTACATTTTTCAGAGCATGAACCTGCTCTAGTGTAGTGGAGCTTTTAGTGGTATAACCCCCACCTGGGATATGCAGGTCCGGAAGTGCAATAAAGTTCAGGAAACCAAAAGGGATACAAAGTAAATGCCTAATAAATTCAAAATAATTAAATTTACAGGGATAAACTTTATTAAATAAACAAAAAGTATATATAATGGTATATTTTAAAAATCCAAAGTGTGTAAAAGCACACTTTAAACACTTTAAGTGTGCTTTTACCCACTTTGGATTTTAACATGAATTGTCAGATTATTTTGTTTAAAATAGTTGTATCTATAAAATATTCTGCACCACTGTAAATAGAGACGTATATGTGTTTATCACTAGTTTAGTCTTTTACTGCATCTCAGCCTATTAATCAGTTTCCTGCTGGGTTTCTCCCTATAGATTCCACAACGCTTCTTGACATCTAACGTCTTTTTATTTCATATGCCAAATGTGCAAAATTAATCTTTGCCTATTGAGGTTTGTTATAATCTTGTAAGACATTTTATCCAATCGATACATACGGGATATATGTAAGAAATGTTCTTCTTAAAATATATTTACATTTTGCATTTCTTCTACCTAAACAATCATTATAAATCACTTTGATTCAATTTGTCACCAATGTGACCTTATCTCTCATCATCTATCCCAGTTGGGCAGTTTGTATATATTTTGGAAATAGTGTATAATATTAGCTATATCGTATTTACTCGAATCTAATGAGCACGTTTTTTGGAAAATAAAGTTTTCAAAATTTGAATGCCCATTAGAATCAATGGCGCATTACATTTGGGGCAAAATTCTAAATTTTCTGGCAAATTAAAACTGGTGAATTAAAACGAGTGAATTCAAAGTGAATTTAAACTCGAATTCAAACAGACAAATTAAAACTGGTGAATTAAAACAGGTGAATTAACACAGGCAAATTTAGTTCTTGAAAGAGGGCTTAA